GGATGCAGCTAGAGGCACACTTTTGGAAGGAGGCGCTCCATGCCAGAGAAACCTAGAGGGACTGTAGCCTGTAGATCTGTGCTGGAGCAGAAGAAATGGAACAAGAGATAAGGAACAGCAGAATAAAACCGCTATGTGCGTGACCCCAACCTCCTGCACTGCCAAATGAATTGGGATGGATGGATGGACAAGGGAAGCTGAGATTAGGGAGTGGGGAGAAGTGTTGGACTGAAGTTGAGCCTGAGAAGGGAAAGATGTGTCCCCAAACGTTTAATTTTTTGTTGTCTTTGTATCTGAATCAGTGCTCAAAACTTTATGTTAATTGGCAATAAATTGAAGAACCAGTTCCCTGAGTCAAGACTGGTTTTCCTGTGATAATAACTGGTAGTCTGTGAAACAGCCAGCTGTTAATAAACAAGCCTTTGTCGGGCCCATATATACTGTGTGTATATATAGTGCGTGTATATATATAGTGTGCGTATATATAGTCTTTAAGGATGTTTTAAGCTGGTTAGAGCAGGTGATGTTTCAGACCTAATGAATCAGGAGCTAAATCTACTAGGTGATGCTAAAGATGAATTTCTGAACCTGTTGAGTATCTAGAGTGATTTATCATGTTATTATCATACTGATGGTAATAAAACCTTAGCTACAAGGAGTATATAACTCAGTATGATGGTGTGCTCTATTATTGGAACGTTCTGAGCCAGGCTGCAAGCGGCTAAAGCTTATTGCTGCTCCTCACTTTTTCTCTTGAAAGCACTTTCCTCTGAACCAAGAGCAACCTAAACCACTTTGTGTGTATTTGTATTTGTATGTCTTAATTTTAAATCTAGTAATCTACTAAGATACGTTATGCGATCCGATTCACAAATATGACTTCAGCTAGACTATGATAAAGCGTCCAGTTGATTGCAATTTTGCAGTACTCCAGAGGAGAAAATTTGAAGCATGTAGGAGTGTTGTACCATTGTGTTTGGTAGTAGAGAGGAACAGAACAATTTGAAAGTAGAAGGATTTAAGGGTCTGTGCTAAAAATCTAGTTGAAGTATTCACCTTGGCTTTATTTGAGACTTTAAGAGAAGAATAATGCATGTGCAGAAAAGTGTAAAATGATTTTTTTCTAAATAGTACTTGGAACATTTTATTCTACATATACCAAGGTATCTCCTCAGCATGTGAAACTTTAACTTATTAGTTGCTTTGGAATGATTCCCCTTTGAACTCAGAGGTGAACTGAAGCGCAAGTTCAGGTAGCACAAGAAGTTCAGCCTGGCTTTCAGAAAATGTTCAGAGATGCATTTCTTTCAGGTATAAACCTCCTACTGAGGTTTATAATCCTTCTTGAAAGCAAAATGGGATTACATGCAGTAAGGTCTTCTAACGCTGGTGGCCAGCATTAGTGGCCTTCTAAGGAAAGTAATCTAAAAAGACTGATAACGTTTTGACATAAATGAGTGAATATTACAAATAAAAAAAAAAAGAAATTGTACATCTCAATTCTGAATGAAAAGAAGCTTCTATACTGTAATGTAGGGAGTGTCTAGCAGTCTAATAAAAAGAGAACTAAAAGGATTGGTAGCTTCAAGACATGAGGAAGGAGAAGAAATTTTGAGCTGCTTTCCTGGATTTCATTATTTATTGGTGTAGTTAGTAGTATCAGAGGTTTCAGTCTTTTGAGAACTGGTGTGGATTCAGGGTAAAAAACCTGTTGCCTGTGTTCCCACAGAGAAACTTAGGGACTGAACATTTTTTTGCTGCTGTAATTCTTCGATACTTCCTTTCCAGGAAGTCTCAGTATCTCTGTTCACCTTGGTCCTTCTGCCCTTTCTTGCTGTTGGTCTCTCAACCACAAGTTCTGCTCCACTTGGAAGGTGCTTGTGTTCACTGCTGGCTTGGCTGCATTGGCTTGTTGTCTCTCCCTTGCTCCACCTGCCAGCATTAGAACAACTAGAGGGCAGAGAGATTTGACACAAAGATATGACTTAGGAAAAGCAGGTAACATGGTAATTTGAGACTTTAACTCAACAAAGGAAGAAGTACTCGTCAGTGAAGGAACAGCCCTTTGAGTGAAGAAGAGAGTAGTAGAGGCTATCAAGCAGGTGACTGTGTAAAGGAATGGGAGGAAAGACAAGTTCTCACAGGTACCAAATGTGAAGGGTAAGAAGAGAGCAGAGAAGGCTAAAGGTTGTTTATTGCATGCTAGCAACAAAATACATATAAATTCCTGCCATATCTAGTTGAAGATGTAGCTGTTCTGTTCTCTTTTTACATGGAAGAAGGAATCAGGGACTGGATATCTACAGAAGAAAGGAGGAATGCAGGAATGTGTTTGCCTGCCTTAGGAGGGAAGGTGTGTGAATGTCTGCTCTTCTGAGAGCTTTTTAGGGAGGGAATGGTAAATCCTTTCCATTTATGCCTCCTAATTTTGGAAGGATGTTGAGATGAAATGGTGGAGGGAGAAGAGTGACAATTCAGTAGAAGATGCTATGTGAGAAAGAGTATGTGAGGCAACACTTGATCTAAAACAAGTGAAATTAGTGACTGGTGACCCTATTCAGTTCTTACAGTCTAATAGATATGGAGCTCCCTTTCCTTACAAAAACTGCAGCTGTAGCTATGTCTGTATTTGTTCCTTGGTTTGTAGCATATCCTAACTCTTTCTCAGCACCTTTGCAGCTTCTCTCTAGATATGATACCTCTTTGGCTTTTAACTTGCTGATTACCTCTTACTACTACTAAAATGTCAGCTAACCCAGTCTGATTGCAGTTCTTTAGCGTGCTACCCTTGGGAATCACAATCAGTATGTGCTATCTTGGGGGTAAGATTCCTGTTTGGAGTTTATGTAGTTTACATGCCCATTGTACTAAGAACATCTGTTCCTAAATTATTTTCAAGAGAAAATCCTAGAATATTAAGTGTAAAAATACATGAACTGCAAAAAATACTACTTACTAAATTGTCAGATTGATTCTACCTAAACGCCTTGTAAAATTTATTGCAGGTTTTAAGATAGAAGCAAACTCAAACTAAATTAGCAGGAAGCTTAAGGAAACATTTTCTTCCACCATAACGTTGATTTATGAATTGCTTTACACTAGCAGGCTTGAGTTGTGTCAGACTGAAAATTCTTTTTTATGGTAAAGCCAAGAAAATAATGTATTCATTGCTGCTGCTTGGGTGTCTGCAGAGGAAGCAACACATATGGACTGCTACTACTAATGCAGAATTTGTACTGTTTCATAATATCGAAGTATAGCTTTGAGAATTTCTCAAGAAAATGTTTAAAAATTTTAATGTTTAATCTCAAAGTTTTGTAATATGACTTTAGAGAAAGGGTGATCCAATTGAATGTGATGGGTCAGTGTAGATTATTAAAACTCTTAAAAGATACTTTAAATGGTTGCAAATTTCAACTTTGCTGTGTAGAAAGCTTTATGTATAGTTTAATGAAAACTGGTTTCCTAAGTATCTGTTTTCATTTTAAATCAATTTTTGACCCATGCTTGCAGTGATATCAGCTTGCTTCCTTATCTACCCTGTTTCTCCTGTGATCCACTTACTGGGTAGGGGAATGCAGATACGGAGGTAGTCTGGAGCTGTGTGTGCTCTGCTTGGTCTGCCTGAATGTAACTGCTGATTGCAAGGCAGTACCCACACAGGCAGAAGAGGTAATTGTTCAGCTCTGCTGCTTTTTCCTTCTCTTTGGAGGAAAGAACAGGAGTAGTTTGGGCCACTTGTCTCTACCCAGCAATTGACTTGCAAGCATGTGTGTGTTTTGTGTCTGTTTACCTCCAAAATTACATTGAAATCATCCAAGAGATGCAGGAATTGCTAAACTTGATGACTGACGGATAGGTAATGTTATCACAGAAATCTTGTTTTCTTGGGTTTAAAATGTGTATGGAATGTTAGACAGGTCTTTGTGCATGTGAAATACTTGGCTATGTTAAAGCAGTTTCCTTCAGAAATCAGAATAATACTAATTTTTCAATTGGTTTCGTTATTTGTAAGATAAAGCAGAGAATTTGCTTTTTTCTGTAGGAAAAGGCAAGATTTGTGCAAGAGAAAAGGTCATTCTTTCCACTATTATACCATGCTTTAAATGTGGAAAACATAAGCTGAAGGGTGTTGACTGCATGCTTTCCACTGTGTAGTGGCTCAGTTGAAAATGGTCCTAGCTTTCAACATTCCTTCAGGATAGTATTGATTAATGTAAACACTGCTTTCACTCTGCCCAATTATGTTGTGGTGTATCCCAGAGCTAAAATTCAGTACAAAAAAAGTTAGGATTTTTTCAATATTTATTCCAGGGCTTCAGCAGGTGAAGAACAAAATTCATGTTTGTATGTGCATTCTTGTACCATTCAGGATGACAGGATGCTACAGATGAGTATTTGTGGTGTTCCTGAAGGGCTTCTGATCTGTAGCACTGTGGCTTTAAAAAAAGGAAGGGGTAAAAATAAAAGACAATTGCATCAGAAGTTATCAGAAATTAGCAGTTTTTCTCTATGCCTTTCTGTGTAGAAAATCACTGCTGACTTGTCCAAGGACACCAATGAGAAATATTGGCAAGGAACTAGAGTGTCCTGGATAAATCATGTGGATTTTTAATCTATAGATTTCTTTTTTAAAACTGCTTGTTGATAAATGTTTGGTTTCTTCTTTAAATATCACATTATCCATTATATTAGTTTTTAATTTACTGCTGTTTGTAGAGAGAGGCTAGAATTACCAGTAATCATCTGTCACTTTGAAAACATGCATGATGCGCATAGGGTGGATGCAGCTTCATTTCATGAAGTGACCCCTTGTGTTACTACTGGAGAAGATTAAGATTGTATTTATTATATGACTTGCAGGATGCGTTTGAGGAGCCTGTTCTGCCTCTTGTGGCAAAAAGTTTCCTAATATTTGGTATATTCGGAAAATATTCTCAAATTTATGGTGACTTAAATGCCTCCAGTTTGCCTTTAAGTAATTGAATTTTATCTTTCAGCAGGCCCAACAGAAGGTTTGGGAAAAATAATACAAAGATTTCCTCAGAAGGACTGGGAAGACACTCCTTTTCCCCAGGGAATAGAGTTGGTAAGTTTGCATTACATTTTGTAACACTTAGAATTTTTCACATACAGTTGGAAGATACATCTGCTGTCATGCAATAATCTGTATTGTCTAACCTGACAGGGAATGGATAGAAATTACATGAGTAGAGGGGATAGATAATAGCTTTAAGAATAATAATTTTGGCTAACAGAAGATAATTTATTCTGGTCTGTACAACTAAGTAGATATTCGTAGAATACAGAAAAAGTCTGCTGCACATGTCGAAAGAGGTATTTAAAATAAATGTTTAGTTATGTCAGTAAGTTTCTCATTGACTATGTTTTTAGGAGCATCCTGCAGATGACTTTTCATTGTCATGTTCAAATAAATACAAATGTGCATTTGTATGCTGTAGATTAAAAAAAAAAAAAAATCCCAATAAACTGGCTTGATTAAAATAGTCAGTCTTTACCCAATATTCTGTCCTTGACAGATGGCATAATGGGTGCTTACAAAAACAGTACACTGAAGAAGACTAGCGTGCAGCAATCTATTTTAAATGCCCTCTCTGAGAATTCACTAATTACGAGTTCTTTCCCTTCCTTGGTCTCATATTGTGAGAGGCAATGAAAAAATATACCTTAATCATCCGGATCAGGGATTCATTAAACGTATGGCTCTAGAAATCCTGCAGAGAAATGAAATACTGTGGTCACACTCCGCAAATTAGGTTTCTCAGAAGTCAGAGTGAAACTCTTACTGCTGTGAACTTAGGAACTTCTGGGACAGGATGAGCTAGGGAAGGAGATGTCCCATAGGAAGTGTTGCAATAGAAGTCTTCGTACTGTGGGACAAAATCAGCTGCAGAGGACAAAGACACTGACTCTTCGCTGAACTTACTACACAGATATAGCAAATGTAGCAAGCTGTTACCAGTATGATACCTTTCAACCAGTGCTGAGCTCACTTGCTGAGTCATAACATGCCATTGGCTACGTGTTGTCTTCTCCAGTGAAAGAAAGGGGAGGGAGTCTTGGTGTTTACTGCTTGCTCTCCGGTGTAGCAGAGGTTTGTGTTATTCACTGTGTGCTGGCGTACGCGACTGCTTGCTCGTTTTCTTCCACAGTGTGGTTTTCATTTCTTCATAGTCGAGCCTAAGCCGTATGTTTCGGGGGGATGTCATACATTAATTACTGGTGTAAGCATTATTTCTGATACACGTGATGGATAGTTAGAGTGTTTGTGGTACACTTGCATAATACTCAATTTGGCAATGCAGCGCTGTGCTGAAACAATGGAAGCTCCTGCTTTCTCTGAAGTGTTCCTGCTACTGTTACAACATTATACCACTCCGTATAGCAATTGCTGTTTGCTCTAGCTGGTAAATCTCTACTTCATAAATGCCTAGCCAGCCTGTGCTCGATGACTGCTGACCAAGTTCAGATAAGTAGTTTTTTTTATATAGTACATGCAGTTGTAGTTCATTAGAAGAGAAATAAACGTTTGATGCCAAGGCTTAGTGGTGGGGTTTTTTTTAACCACTCTCTAGGGGTGGAGCTAGATGGTTTGATCTTGCCTTAAACAACTGCAAGAGTTTGAGTCATACTAAAATTTTGCCATATAAATATTCCTTACCTATTTCAAAGAAAGTAACGCGTCTGACTTCCAGTGATGTTTTAAAATTAAATGAGCACAGCTTCTCTTAAAGCAGTGAAGATTCTTAAGGGATATATCTGTACCCAAATGTTATTTCCCATTTAAGTTTAATTGTGGGATGTTAGCACTACAAGAAAACACCTTTCTAAAGGAAGATGATTTTTTTTTTCCCCCCTTGATTCAACAAAACATTATTTTTGTATCGGTTCTCAAATGACTCACTAGGCAGAGCCATTAAGACTTGAAATTTCCCAAATAAAATGAAATCTGATGACTTAAAAATGAAGGACATCTCTTCAGCCAGTTGGCAAAATTCATTGGATTTTGATTTGCTTTCCAGACATGGTAATAAAATTTTAATGAATTAAGTTTGAGAAGTTAGAGATACTGCAAAGATCAAGTACTAAAGTAAGTAACTTACATGTCAGCTTTTGGCGGGATGTTTTTTTCAAGGTTTTGGATGAGTGTAACATTCATGGAAAGGCAAGAAGAAAAGCTATGTTACTATTTTCTGTTTGTCACCTTAAGGGCAGCTTTAATATCATCAAGATAATATTAAGATAATATTATTAAGAATATAACAGGCAAACCTTGGGGGGGAAAAAAGAGAAAGAAGGTAAGAATAGAATAGTTGACATAAATGTATATGAGAATGAAGGTAGACATTTTTACGAATAGCACATGGTTCTATGAGTAATTTGAATTAAAACCTTCTTAAGTGTACTTTCCTTTGAGTGAAGAATCTTTATGGAATTATATGGTTTCTCTGAAATGGGGAAAAAAGCAATGGTTTATATCTGAAAAACATATTATGCTCTCTTCAGTGTGTTTTCATGAAGGAGTAAAAGGCCAAAACTTTTCATGCTTAGCAATAGGATTGAAGGGAGATTTGATTTTTGAGTCTTGGCTTCTGCCAGAGTTAGTCCTTCTGCCCTGAATCACAGAGATCTTCAACTGGTTATTGGTGAAGATCTCACTGCTTCCTTCCCTCCTCCTTTTATAAAGTGAATTATTTGCCTGTGAATTTGGACGTTTGGATGCCCAAGTTTTTTTGCCAAATAATATGGGTTGAATCAGGTAATTCATCCTGGCAGCTTATGGGTGATATGATTTAACAGTTTCCCGTTCATGTTGTTAATAGCATTTTATGAAACAAGGTGGGGGGAAATAGTGGAAAAGACCTATGTCCACCCTTGAAGTTTTAATACTTTAAGGTGGAAAATGCCCATTTGGACCCCTTGTGTTCTCCACAGCTTATAGAGATGCTGTTAGTCCAAGCTCCAGCCAAGAACTAATAGACAAAATCCTCTGAGACTTTTGTGGAGGGCTCTTCTCTCTTCCCAACCCTGCATGCCCCTTACCCTTATGGGCATGAATTCATGTGGTTAGATTTCTGGGACATAAATTAAGACAGTGTAGAGAGTAGGGTTGTGCAGGTATTTTTTAAGTTAAATAATAAAATCACTGCAAATAATATTTTTCATTTTGTTGAGCCCAGTTTTGAAAAATGGAGTAGCGTGGGAAGAACTGTGTTTAATGGACTTGGCCTTGGCTGAGTGAAAAGGGAACATTTTGAGAACTTATCTAGGAAAGATGATGACCCTGTTTCAACTTTTACTTTTAGCCTTGACTGTATTTGTAGTTTTGAAAATTTGACACAAATATGTAGAGAAACGTAATTGCAGTTTGAACTTTACTGAAGAGTATTATATTTGGTGTACTTATATATTCTGTATTAAAGGATTAAGAGTTACTTAAACTGTTCATATTTTTGTGTGTAGCATGTTAGCTATGTTCTGGTCTCGTTTAACAAACACAGAAGTTCTAGAATAAACACATCGTCCAAAATTCAACAGAAATACAATTTATGAAATTTTATTGAAGCCAAATGCTTTAATTTGTCTTGTTAAATAAATTGTGTGTCTTCTGGTTTTCAGTGGTAACTGGGCAAAGCCATGAGCCTCTGTTGAGGGAAAGATACTGTCAGTAGATCTCGGTCAGTGTATCTTCTTAGACCTTCTACTTCTCTGCATTTCATCAAATTACCTAAAGAGATTTTTATTAATCTTGCCTTCTTTGCATTTGCCAATTCTCTAATGGCTTCACAGCTTTTAACTTCTTTCCATTTATAACTGAATACAGAAACTTTTGAGTGAGCCACCTGCAAATTGCTGTGAATACCGGAAGATTTTTTTATGATGGGTTATTGAACATTACAGTAGCTAGTAAGGGCCCTGATACTTTTTTACCGTTTGTTGAATTGCGATATAACTGAGAATAAGGTATGATATTTGTTAATGTTATGTATCATACATATCAACTGCTACTTCAAAAGCAGTAAGATGCTCTTTGATTTGCTAGAACCTTTTGTGGGCTATTCAAGAAGAATATAGGAAACTTTTTTTTTTTATAATTTCAGTTTAGAATCTGAGCATCTTCAGTTTACTGTCAAATAGCAGTCCATCTGCAGTTTACTGACAAATACAAGTCAAAGTGAGTTTTCTCAAGTTTCATGGAAGTAAGCTGGCTTTGAGGAATAAAGAGAGATTAATGGTCATTCTTAAAATTAGTACTCATTCTTAAAATTAATGCTCAAAGTATTTAGCTCAGAAAACCATTTTAGTTACCTGTTTCCAAAACCATGATGTTGGAACATACCAATCTGTTAGTTGCACCCATAATGTTTTAAATGAACATGTTTGGGTATCCTTCTCCATTGTCTGTTTCAGAGAAGCTATTTCAGCTTTATGCAGCTTAAGTTTAAAAATAACCCTCTAAAATCAGCTGAGGCACGTAGAGCAGTTTAAAATTAGAATAATCAAACTTTTTCTTCTTGCTTGTAGAAAGATTCCTTGAGAGAGTATGTTGGTTCAATGAGTTAGCTTTATATTTCTGCATATTTTTCTTCTTTATAATCCAGTTATAATTCTGCTGTATACCTTTCTAGACATCATAATTAGTTATACATCAAAGGAGGAAGCTTTGGTATGTAATGTTACCCTGTATACTCACTTTTGTCCCAGGGCTAAATTAGCTAAACTAAGTGTCATCTGCATTACTCAGTGTCGGGAGGCTAATGTTAATTAGGCCAATGAAAGTCATACCAAGAAATAGATACGTAAGTCTAAACTAGATATAATGTGTTTGTGCAGTTTGTGAGTAGCAGGGAAGAGAATTTCCCGCTATAACCAGTGGTGGTGGTAATAGTGTCATGAATTAGGAATTTTCATTTCAAGTATGTGCAGGTATAGAAATGAACATACATTTCTAGACAAGCTAATCACCTATCCAAATAATTACTTAAATTATAAAACGTAATTGTAAATTGTAAAAGCTGTTATTTAATACAATCCTTTGAAGACAGTTTACATGTATCATGATACTGA